CAACTTTTCACGCATTCGGGCGGAGCTCGCATGCGCGTGCGTGTGGTGGCGCAGACGCTCTCGGGTTACCCGGGGTATCCGCCCGAGGGCGAGCGGCGCCGAAGGGGGCGCTGTATCACGTATGCTTGCAAGCGGGTGAGTCCGCGAAGGCTTGGGAGCTGTCTGAGAGTCCCGTGAGGCTCAGGCCTTTTTGCCCAAAGGTGAGAGCCCGACAGGTGCTTCTGAATCGGGAAATTAAAGTGCTTTAGACTGGGGACACATTGAAGGAACCGAAAAGCTCAGAGCAATTGTAAAGAGCAATAGAATGAGTTTCCTCCCAACTCTAAGCATTTCCACAGCCTTATGAGCAGTACATTAAGATGAAGTCAGACGAAAGGTGTTCTTCAGAAGACAGCACAGTCTGAACTTCGGTTTAACGTGAATCTGATGTAATTCTGGCAGAAAACAAGGAAACATGGCATTGAAGAGCACCAGAAAATGGACAGTTTCTGGTAGGCTTCTTTTAAATATTGAAAATTGCAGATTTGCCGCTTTGAGAACCAGTAAGAATCTGGGGGACATAAATTAGAAACAACTGAACTGGTTCATTTTCCATATCATTTCCAATTTCATCATGCTGAGATTCTTAGAAGAAATGATCCCAATATAATTGTGCCCGCGGTGTTGAAGGAGCCCATAAGGGCAACTAAGGGCTTTCACCAGAAGGAACAGTTGTCCATACGGAGGAGGCAGGATCAGAAAAGGGCTGGGGCGAAGGCCCAGATCTATCATTCACCCGAGCAGTAAACCTTCATAAGGTTATTATGACCATTGGCTGCTCATTCATGTCTCCAGCCTCTTGGGTAAAGCGCTGGTTTCTGCTCAGAGTAATGACACAGGAATGACGTTTTTCAGATTTCTAAGAGCACCCTGCATGTAAAAATGTTGTGTCACTCAACCACTTATTTACATTCACTTTCAAGACCCAGCTAAAATGTGACACATTTCTAGGTCCTTGGCAGGGATAGCTATACCTCCTTTGTGTTGGTAGGATATTTTGTTTGCATTAAAAATATTGCAGGTTAGTAGTTTATATGTGATTCTCCCCTAGGCTCTCAGCTTCAGCTTTGTATTGTACAAAATGCCTGGTCTATGTTAGGTACTTAACATTACTAACAAAAGAATACAGCTATTGATCATTTCATTTTTTATTCTTTTTAACAAGAGAGCTTTTTTAAAACTGCAGATTGCTGAGCTCCACCTACAGAGATTAGGCCTGGGTTATGGACCAAGAATGGATATTTTTACCCACAACCAGATAAATCTGATGTGGGTGGCTGACCCATAGAAAATATTGTGATTGATGATTTAAGGAATGTAAAAGAAATATATAAAATAGCCTGTTCCTTCCACATTGCTTATTTAGGGGACAGAAAAGATTCCTAGAAACAAATCATCAGTATTTGTTATTACCTCTTTGAAACTTGACTTCAATAAAATTTATATTTGCAAAAGGAAGCTAAGGGAATGAAATGCAATGAAGTTTCACTTTATACCAGATCAACGTGTGTAAAGACTAAAAGTCCATAGTCCTTATTAGTTTCAACAAGAAGAATCTGTTGGGAAAGCAGAAGAAAAAAAGAGGAAGTATGGCAAACACATGCACACACAAACACACAGAAGAAAAAAGGAACTCAGATAACGCAAGAGATGGCAAAAGAAAATAAGAAAATATCTAGAAAAAGTGGAAGTATATATAAAGCCAAGCCCAAATAGTTGAAATAATTTTATCATGTTGTTAAATATATTAATCCTTTAAGTCACAAAAAATGGTAGTAAAGACAAAATACAAAGGTTCCTAGCAAAAGAAGTTAAGGTGGAATGGAATTATTAGGGGGATTGAACTTCCCACATATTATTTCTGAGATGTCTTAACCAATATAATATTTTAGGGAGATAAGGCTGCTAGTTCTGTCTACAGTTGGCCCAGCCATTGGGAAAGAAGTGTCCCAAAAAGATCTTTCCCAAAAAGTTTAGCTATCTAAGTCAAACAAAGGGTTTGCTGCCTCTTTGACCAGCTTACTGTCTATCAAAAACTCTTAAGTGAAGATTGCTTCGTGTAATCTTATTAAGTTAATGTGATTATCTTCTTGAAACAAATTAGTGATGTGTAGTAATCTAAATGTGGTATTAAAAGTTAAACTGAAAAGAAAAAGGAGAAAGAAACTTTTTCTGTCTTTGAATGGACTGAAAAAAATAGAGATTTTTATGAACCTGATAGTATAAGGTGTCTGGCAAAAAATTAAAAAAATTAAAAGTACCAATTTATTTATTAAAACCAGAGGTAGACCGATGATTCCTGTAGAGATCACCAATTTCTTAGACTTATTACTTGAAGTCAGTCCCTTTTCCAAAAATGTCTGTCCTGCTGTTTTCATTCCATGAAATTTCAACATTAGGGCTTTATAAAATTATACATGTGTTTTAGAAAGGATAAACTTAATAGCATTAATGCCCTGGTAGGCCAGTCATAATATTTTTAAAAGTTAATTTTGTGAAAATACTTCTGTTTCAGGCTGCTGCTAATTTTAGTGAAGACAGTTGCAAAATGTGGCCTGGATCAATCGGAAGTATTGTAACAATGAAGGATGAAAGGTAGAGCTGTGTGAATGTGAACATAAGTTATTTTATAAGGCTTATCGGTTAAAAAAAATAACACTTAAGATTAGGAAAACCGAAGTTTACTTGTCACATATACAGTGAATACGTACATATTTTATGAAGATCATAAGCCAAAAGGAAATGAAGTCTAGTGAAATCTGAAAGAACAGAACAATTGATGCTATCATGAAGTGGTATTAAAAGGAGGAAAAAAGTCACCTCACATTAAAACTGAAGCAGATGACAAGTCTTTTCATGGGTTTGACTCAATGCACATAATGTAGCATCTAAGTGATCTGGGAAAAGTATATAGCTAGTATCAAGAAATGTTTAAAACAGTAGATAGTCAATTGTAATTTTCCTTATGTCGCTTTCTATATCATGAGTGATATTTTTCTGCCTACCATAGTGGGTATTCAGATGTAATTTCTGAAAAAAAAAAACCCTATACCCACTCCTGTTTTTCCTAAAAATTATTTTATACTAAATATTATGGGCTTAAATTTAATGTAAACATAGGAAGAGACAAAATCATGAAGTAATAAAGCATACACTTTTACTACATAGAAAGAAGAAAAAGCTGCATATTCGTGGGAGACAGATTTTGACTAAGTTTAGTTCCCAGTTTAAATTATATGCTATTTGTACTTTATTGTTTTGCTCATGTCTAATAATACTAAAACGACTTTCTTTATATGATCAACTTGGAAGTTTCATGGTAGGAAACCCAACTGGTGGTAGAAAAAACTAAATTATGAATTTGTTTTAATAACACTGCATGGTCATCAGAGAAAAGGAATGAGTTTGGATATAATGTTTGCTACTTGGTTTGCCTTCCATCTCAATCATCCTGGACACATACCCAAGTTCTCAGGAGAAAAGATTGCAACGAAAGATTTTACCATTGAATTATGAAAGAAATTGGGAGTTCTAAAGTGGTACTAAATTGTGGACATGTTTAAACAGCCTAGAACAAAGAGTTGAGAGTATTTAAATATAACAACCTCACATAGATGTTATTAGTCTGGAAGAGAAATTAAGTGGCATATTTCTCACCCTTGAATTTTAACTACAAGTGTTTCTCTGACAATATGTTTCCTCCTGCTCCCTGCATCAATGCAGTAGTTCGTATATTTTTAATGTGTTTTATTCAGATGCAGCAGGTATATTTCTCACACCACGAGTCCTCCCACACATAGCCCTGGGCATCTATCATCAAACTAGTTAATCAACTGCTTCAAACTTACCAATTGTAGTGAGATAGTAGAAACTGATATGTAATCCTGAATTTGAAAAATTAGGTCAAAGCAGTAAATCTATTGCTCAAGATCTTGGCACTCCATTTTGCAAGGATTCTTGAATCTGTCTAATCTCTGTTGACATTAGTTCAATTGATGCAAGAGTATATCTTGGTTTTGAATCAGTTCAACCATAGCACAAATAAAGTTTGAGTATCATACACCATTTTTCCATTGCTGTACACTAGTATGTCATTCTTAAACTCTAGACTTGTACAGAAGTGTAACTAGATGTTAGTAATGCTTCTGAAAAAAATTACAGACTGAATTCTATCCTGAAGATCT